TCTTCAAATGTATTTCAAAAGAAAAAGCCTTGCAAGTAAGCTATAGCCACCGAACAAATCATTAGACATGCAACCAAGATGCACAGACTTTAAGCTAATATTTATTACATTATCTCCTAGCCTCACCCTCTGAACACACATACTGGTTTGTTTGAAAGCAATGGATGAGGAATTTTTAAAATTCTCAGACAAAATGAAATAGTTTTTCTGTTACTTTTACTTACTATTTTAATTAACTTACTGTGAATTATTCACATTGTGTCACTCAAAATTGTCTCCCTATCATTACATATTCATAAATGTGTTTTTTAAATTGACACACAGCAGTAACTAGCTGGTAGAAATATTGGAAATTTAAATTATATAGGCCTGTGTACACATATAATCCATAGCTAGGATAATAAAAAGGAGACTAAGTTTTAATTTTTCAGAAGAATTTGTTGGCTAAATAAACAAAATAAAGTATTTCTTTCTTTCCTTTTTTCCCCTCAAGATGGGTTTCTCTGTGTAACAGCCCTAGCTGTCCTGGAACTGGATTATAGACCAGCCTGTTTCTACTTTCCAAGTGTTGGATTCAAAGGCATGTGCTACCACATCTTGCTGGTGTTTCTTTTTATCGTAATGAAAATTAACCATTCTATAAATCTTAGAATATGGTTATATGTGATACTGACAAAGTGGGGAGGAAAGAAAATTTTTACATTTTTTGAATGCATTCAAATTTGTTTGGAATATATGAATCACATCCTAGAATCTCTTCTGGAATTGAGGAAGGTTTTTAAAAATATACATGCATGTAAAGTGTGTGTGTGTGTGTGTGTGTGTGTGTGTGTATAAACATGCAACAAATTGCTCTAAGAAAACATTTAATTATGAATACATTTTGTTAATTTTTGCCCAGTCAATTTGCTTACTTCTTACTTTTGCTTTTTTAGTTAAATTGTGTTTGAATTTAAATAAATTACCAAATATATTATTTCATAAACAAAATTTTCATTGTTAGTTACACTCAGAGCTACTGGGGTTGATTTGAAGAGCTTGTGTCAGAGAATTAATTTTGGGTAGTATCAGAAGAAGCTAAACATTTCTGTCTGTCTCCTTTGCTTTTATTAGGCTTTTACTACTACAGTTTCCTTCCCCAAATAATGACAGTATTTTTTTTTTTTTGCCATTCTTGGGTCCTTGGTTTTTCATTTCACACTTTCTTGGGATGAATTTCCTTTTGTCATAAGCTTCCCTCCCCTGCTTTGTTATAGTTCCATTTGTGTTATGTTTCTTCCAGTTGTTCTATCTACAGCTTCTGAGATCTTCAAAGCCCAGCCTCAGTGGTTCAACAGTGAGCAGAACTCTCAAAAGAATCCTCAACTTTGAATGGGTGTGCCAGCATCTCTCCACTGACAGGCTGATGAGAACAAACCTTAAACTGATGTCATAGTCATAAAATAAAATCTAATAAAATGAGTTACTAAGTTGACCCTTAATAAAAGCGTCCTGTGCTAATCTCTCAATATATTTCCAAGTATCCAATTTCTTCAAAATAAATAATAAGTGATTGATATGCCTCCAATCAGGCATGTATAATGATGTTTCTTATTATGGCTACACTCCAGAGACTTGTGAAAAAATTCCACACAAAATGTTCCTGAGAGGTCAAAGGGGCAATGGCAGTTCCTATGCTCTCCTCAACGCACATTCCTAAAATTAAAAACTAAAAGTTTATGAAGACCGGGGACTGTTCCGCATCTCTATCACCAGTATAATACTTGCTACAGAGCAGAATCTCAATTACTGGTTACTTGAATAATGATTTGATTATTACATAGTTTAAAAAGTGATACACCTTTCTCAAAATTTTTCAAATGCAAACTGTTCCTTTGTGTGCCTGATGATGTCTCTCAGTAAAATTTCTGACTGAAGAGAAACGTAAGCACAACACTTTACAGCTGAAAACTGTAAGCTGTAAAGTCTCAGAAATCTGAGAATGTGCCCAGAATTACACAAGTACTTACTTGTTCAAAGCAATGAAGAATCAAGATGCTTGAGTACTGGGTTTTGTTTTCTTTCAATTCTATCAACTCGATTTACTTTTATTGTATTATTTGTGTAATACTACTGTATTTTATGTGCAATATTACTGCATTATATTATAGCCAACGTCAATTCACCTAAAAATAACTACTACAATATCAAAAGCTCAACCTTGGTGATTCTATGAGTCAAAAACTAGCTTAGGATGTGCTAATGTATTAGTATAAATGCATTTCCATTTTTCTACTTGGAATCCTATTGATTGAAACATATGACCAGACCACTGTGTAAACATGAACCTAAAGAACAAGTATAGATCCTCCTAAAATAGATGATGATGGGGTTCAGGAAAGTTCGCAACACGTAAAAATCAACTACAAATGCCCCCAAAATGGTTAGTCTAGGCTGTTGTAGTTATTCAAAGCAGCAAGAAAACAGATAGCATGCCTGGCATCTCCTCATATACATCCAGGAAGTATAGAAGGATAAATATAGTGGAAGTTTTTAGGGCAAAGGCTTCTTTGGCAAATGAAAGGAGGGACCACGCAGTACTAACTCATTGACTTGAAATGGAACCTCTCTGTTTCGTCTATGACACTAAGTCAATTGATGATATGACTAATCATTGACGATTTTTCTTTTTTCTCTGATGCTTTTTATGGGTACATGTTTGCACCTGTTCACCTGTAGGCTCTGAGCACCCATCTGACAGGCATTTTTCAAAATAAAATTAGTTGTAGCTTGTAAAGTGCATAATACTTCTGCATTATTTGATATCATAATTATTTTCAGTTTCTTATTTTGAAAACCCTTATCTAGGCTTGCACTTTTCACATCTGCCACTGAACTCCAACTTATAAAGGAAACTATCAGAAATTATTTCCTACCTCTCATTCTCACAATAGATAATTCAGTTATCACTTTATTTTGCCTAACCCTCACGTGAGTGGTTGAGAAAAATCTAAGCTAAATTGTCATTATCAAAATCACTATCAATACTTTTTAGAAATGTGTAAATTTTGGTTGTCAGACACAAAAATTTGGGATTACAAGAACAATTCTATCCCAACAGATCAGTATCTTTAGTTAGATCCTTGAGTTAAACCCAAATCTGTTGTACTGAATAATTGGTATGTTGCAAAAATGTTTGTTGGGGATTAACACAAATCTACAGATACACGGCTACTGAATTCTTCTCATAAACAATTGTGTTCAACAACTTGCAATGCCAAATATTTTCAGAGATTACCTTTTCTGGGATAATTTACCAGGACAAATGAAAAACAACAGTCAAGCTGCTCTAAAATATCTTTCTAGGTTATCTGCAGAAAGATGTGTGAAGAGTAATACACACCAGAAAGGAGGGAGACTAAAACCATGTACTAAAGACTTATGTAGCATAAAGGAAGGACACTGGAAACATGTGTTAAAGACTAACATACTAGAAAGGAAGGAGACTGAAAACTTGTGTCAAAGAATAACACACACTCGAAAGGAGGGACACAGAAAAATGTGTCAGAGTAACAACCAGAAAGAAAAGACACTGAAAACATGTGTTTAAGACTAACACACCAGAAAGGAAGGACACTGATCAGTGTGAAAAGAAACAAGTATTCTCCAATATAGGTATCATAGTGATGTCTTTGGCATTGCATGGTACCAGCACCTAGACTCTCTGCATCTTAATTTTCCCCAGGCCCTTCCCTAAAATGAGTCTAAGAATGTTTTCAAAAGGGAAACCTAGGAGAGGCCAAACAAGATCAGTGCTCTGATACATTGAGGGAACTTTAAAAAATTAAATCTGAGGGGTATAAGCAGGAAAAGAACAAATGGGGGCAGCACTTAAAGTCCTTTTTCCAAAACCCAGGTGAGTCTCAAAGGTGAGTAGAAATCTGCAATTGAGTGGACCCCTTCAAACCCAAGTTCACTTAGTCAGTAAAGGATAAAACCAGAGGTCTGTCTGGCATTTCAGGGAGGGGGGGTAGTTGAAATATCTTAGAAGGGGTTAGAACAGAATGGTATGGAAGAATGCCTGGAATCAAGGGGAAAATGGTGTGTACTGAGAACCACTAGTGCATAAAGCCCCAAATCAGCACAAGTTGCCTAAGTGCATGAAGGCATTTATCCTCTCAATAAATATGTGTGTGGGTTCTCATGTGAGGAAGGTAGGAAGCACTGGAGAATCTAAGGAAGGGAAAGTAAAGGATGATGTCAGGATGCAAGAGACTTTAAAAAAAAAAAAAAGACACCAGGTTTTCCCAGAAAACTGAGCCAATAAATGCCCAACAAATAAGACATCAGGAAGGCTCTCTCTCTCTCTCTCTCTCTCTCTCTCTCTCTCTCTCTCTCTGTGTGTGTGTGTGTGTGTGTGTGTGTGTGTGTGTGTGTGAAAAACATAGGATTGCAGGTTTGCATGTGAAAAGATGCAAAGGAAAGATTTTGATAGCATTCCTAAATGTGAGAAAGGCATGCAAGAGAGGCTGCAAAGAGCCTGTGGAATTCAGAGATGCCAAAAGGTCACTACTAGGACCAAGAGAGTGTGGGAAATGAGAGAGTAAGGGCTTCCAGAGGCGGGGCGGGGACTCCTTTGGGATGCTGAAAGGGGGAAATGGATTTGCAGGAACACAGCCTGGGAAAGTTTGGAAGAAAAGAAAAAGCAAAACCAAAACAGGTGGCCTGAAGGAGCCCTGAGGCCAGCAAAGATGACAGCAGTGTAGTTGAATTTAAGGCTTTCGTTTATTAGCCAGACCTCGGAAAAAAAAATAGGGTCTCTTTCCTTCTCAATGTTCCCCTTCTGCCTAAGCCCAGAGGGTTCTGTCTTCCTAGAGGCCACTAGAAACCCTAGGCCGACCAGGATGAGGCCTGGTCGCCCCCCAGCGGCTGGGAGCTCCCTGAGTTCCCCTATAGCCCTGCTCCAACTTTGCCCATTTCTGATCTCTGCTGAAGCTCGGACCCTTCTGTTCCCAGCTCACCGAGGGCGCTGTCAGGAGGCTGATGCTCTCGCCTAGGGAGTCCAGGTTTACCCTCCGGCGTCGCTGCGCCCTCTTGGACCCGGCGGCCGCAGCAGCAGCAGCCGTGGCGGCGGCGGAGGCAGCGGGAGCTGGGGTGGCAGTCTTGGCAGCAGATCTGGATCCCGGTGGCCCTGGCGGGCTCCTGCTGTCATTCCAGCAGAGCCTGGACAGGGGGCACTCCCCTTCCTCCTCGGGGCTAGTCTCCAGATAGTCAGAGCCCAGAGAGCTAAAGGACTCGGATGAGATCTTCCTGCGCGACATGCTGCTGGAGATGCTGCTGCAGACGAAGCGGCGGTGACAGTGGTGGCGGCGGAGACGCAGCGGTGGCGGTGGAGGTAGCAGGATTGGCGCTGGCAGCGTCAGGTGCGTCGGGGACGCTGGGCGGTGCGCTAGCCCAGACGGGAGTTCCCAGCGCTGCTGAATCCTGCCAGCCAGCTGCTCATGGCGGGAACTTGGGTCACCGCGGCTGCTCGCTGGTCCCTCCCGGCTAGGGATGAGCTAGGGACTCAGGGACTGCCGCCGCCTCTGCAGCTGCACATCATTCCCTCTCGGGTGCTGCGGGGATTCGGGTGCAGCGGCTCCTCCGCCTTGCGTCTCTAATGCCCGAGGCCCGCGTCCTCCGCCCCCTCCCTCCTGCTCCCTCCCCCCCCCCCGCATCATCCCCCCCCCCCGCCCGGGCGATGTCTCCGCCAGCATCACGTGTCGCCACCATACTCATTAGAAGTCTCTGCCTCTCCAGTCGCCACATTTCCGAATCAACTAGGACACTTTGCTGCTGTTCTCTCTGCGCTTCCCCGCCTCCCCTGCGATCATGTCCTCCTGCTAGGAGTTCGTATGGTGATTCCCATAGGACCAAAGGTCTCTAAGCCCAAACGTTGAGTCCCTTGGTCCCTGAAAAAGCAAATGGGTAGTGAACATGGCCGGTAGCTGACATTCATTAGGGTGAGGGGCATAGAACTGGGGGAGGGATCTGCCTTTGTATAAAACTAAAAGCCTAACAAGGGCCGCTAAAGTCCCTGCACACACACACACACACACACACACACACACACACACACACACACACACACCGTGTCCAATTCTAGTTTATTTTGGAAGTTCAAATCGGCCACCCCAAATGTTTCAATGGAGACACTTTCAAGGGAAGGAAAGGGTGGGGCAGCTACTGGAGATAGTTCCCTGACTCCAGGAAGGCTTCGTGGTCAGTGAGAATATCATCTGCTCAGGCTGCAGCCGCCCCCCCCCCCTCCGCCACCCGTGGCTTTATGTGCCCTGAGCCCGGTGGTAGGAGCCTCTGTCAGGCCCAGTTGTCTCTGTTCCAGTGCTGGACAGCTCTGCTTGCCACCTGTACCAAGCTTTCCAGGTGGTGATAGGATCTGTGCAGACTCTTGGATCTGACCCATAAGAGCATGGGGAAGGTTTCTATGCCCCTCAGTCACTGGGCTCCTTGAGTCAGATATGCATTTAGTTGATAAAACGAAGGGAAGTGGGAAGATACCAAAACCAAATTCTCCAAGGTCCTGGTGTAGCTCCAGAAAGGGTTTGGTTTGTCCTGAATTTACACTAAACAATAGTAAGAATGAGAAGCCAATTGCAGTGTCCCAGAAGAAGAATCCCAGGCTTAGTTTCCTGTACAGGGAAGCAACTGAGCACATTTCTTGTTTTCCCTTGACTTTGCCTTTAACATGAAGAACACAAAAACCAAAGCATTTTTACTTTTGTTTCCTAAAGACTGTTCCAGGTAAAGCACATAGGTTTAAGTGAGCATAGTCCATTTAAAACAAAGAAAACCTCGGAATTGTTACTGTTTCTCCACTCCAGTTTGATTTTAACTCTAGATCTTCCTAATAGTTTGTGAGTGTTAAGTTTCCTTAGCCTCCTTATTCACCAGGAAAAGGTGAGTGTGCTATCCTCCCCTTCCAATGCCCTACAATGCAGGACAATCAGACGTGATAGGGAGTCAAGTAAAAGCAGGCACTCGGTTTATTACTGTGAGTATCAATTTATATAGGTTAAGTGACATCCTGTGATGTGGTGGTATCTCCAGCCAATGAGAGACAGTTATCCCCTTCTTCTGGCTGAAGGGGCAGCTACCTAGATTTTGCTGTCTCATCCTCACTCAGTTCCCACAGGCCTTCGAGGTACAGGCAAAGAGATAATCCTCACTCAGTTCCCACAGGCCTTCGAGGTGCAGGCCCTGAGATAATTTTGGCCCAATATCTTTCACTTTTGTTTTATATCCTCCCGCACCCCGGTCACCGAGCCAGAATAGCCCACTGGGGAGAGAGTACAGGTCAGGGCCACCCCTATCCGGACTTTTGGCCTGGATACCCTCAAACTGAGAGTTCATCTGGGAGGTGAGATGTATCGAGCTTATCTTATTGTACTCGAAGGGCTATGAGTTGTACCTGTTGTATCTGTTTTTGGAATGCTTGTTTCAACCTTTGGAGAATGCATGGGCCAAAATACAGATCAATAAACAAACAGCCATTGGCCCAATTAGGGAAGAGGAAGAGATGAGTGTGGTAAGCCATGGGCATCATTAAACCAGGTCTCATGTGGGGGGGGTGGGTGTCCTTGACTTAAATCTTTTTTTAACTCATCTAGGATTCTTGTAACTATCTCAGAATGGTCTGCACAGAAGCAACATTCTTCTCCAAGTGCCCTGCAAATTTCTCCCTGTTCCATAAACAGCAAGTTCAAGCCTTTTCTATTTTGTAAAGTTACCCTTACTAAGGAATTCAAAGACTTTTGTAAATAAAAATAATGCAGTCTCTGTCTTTTCTAATTATGTCCAGCCCAGTCTGCTCACATCCCCAGGAAGAACAATAGTAATCAGGAGTCTCACCACAGTTTCTAATAGTGGAGTCAGTCCAGTTGCTTCCTGGGCATACATTAAAGGGTGTTTGGAGGAGGGCATGTCTCCTAAGGGCATGAGACTCATTAGGGTAACATGCCTGGGGTAGGATGCACCAGCGAAAACATCCACATTCAGGTCTCCCTTAGATCCCTGGAATCCAGTCTCCCATGTCCCAGCTCCCACATGCCAAGTTGCAGAGGTCAAACATCAGATCAGGCCACCATGTCCAGGGTGTCGTCATCTGAGAAGTCTGGTTTAGGATCCCTCCAGTGCCAGCACTCCATAGGATCCACGTCACCTTCTGAGGTTGGTGCAAGCTTGCTGCCTGGACCTTGATCCCCGTGAGAAGAGTTAATAAGATTACAGCTGGGAGGACCTTCTGAAATAGATAAACAGGCAACACTTTCCACAAGGGTCAATCGCCCTTGGGCAGTCGTTATTTTTCTTTTCTTGTGTTTGAATTTAAAGGTTGTCCACCATAATCTCTTTCTTTCTTTATTGATCATCTTGGTCTTCCCCATTGTCCTGAGGGGAGGGGAGATATTTTAAGTTACAAGCAGGTAACCGTATAGGCATTTCCCTTTTTGAGGGGGGAAGACACATCCATATCCCCGGCCCTGTGTCAACAAGGGATCTGGGCCCCTGCATTGGTTAGTGAGAGGATCCTTCCTTCTAACCTTTAGGCAGGGCCTCATTTTTAGGGATTCTCAATATTTCTGGAATCTATTTTGTTCATCTGATTTTTGAAAATTTAAAATATTGATGGTTAATAATGCCTTTTGCAATTGTAGATAGGGAAAGACTTCTCCCCCTTTTTGTTTTATAAGGACCTCTTTGAGATATTGGTGATGTCTTTTGACAATTGTTTGACCCTGAAGGCTGTATGGGGATCCCAGTGGTATGGGATATATTCCATCTCTGGAAGAAGTCTCTTAATGTTTTACTTATGAAACAGGGGCCACTGTCGGTCTTGACCTGTTGTGGTAGTCCCAACGTTGTAAACAGTGGTTTTGCCATGGGTTGCCTTTTCCTCTGAGTGAGTGGTAGCCCAGCCTGCCTTAGAGTACAGGTCTATGGTCACAAACATATATTTTAATTTGCCAAATGGAGGGTAATGTGTTACATATGTTTGCAAGACGATATTGGGTCCTAACCCTTTTGGGTTCAGCCCTGGTCCTTGTAAAGGGTGTGGGGGTGCAGAGAAACTATTGGCAAGTCTTACATGTATAAAAAATTCTCTTTAATTGTGTTGAGGGGATCTGGGGATATAGGTATTTTAGTCCTCTCCAGATGACATGACTTAAGTCATGCATTTGGGTAGCATTTTTCATGGGCATAGTTTAGACCTCTATGAGACAGGCCCCTGATGCTACAGTATCTGCAGCAGCATTCCCTTGGGAAATGAGGCCAGGGAGGTTTTGGTGTCCTCTGAGATGTTGAATATATATGGGTTTTTTTCTACCTTCTAAGAGTGATCCAAGTTGAATCATCAAGACAGAAATAGGATTAGCATCCAATGTGATATAGACATAGGGTAAATGTGGCAGTAGGTTCACCACATAAGAGCTGTCTGAATAGAGGTTTCAGGGTTCTGGAACCTCATGTAGGGCAATATATACAGCCATCATTTCCTTATATTGAGCAAATCCTCCACAAAGGAGATTTTAGTAATTTTTGTCTTGGTCCCCACTGTAGGGAAAACTACAAAGGCGGCCCCATTCCTCCTGCCATCTGTGGAAACAGTGAGTGCTTGGGACACGGAAAAGACTGAGGGGACTCTTTAGTGCAGTTCCTGATATAGCTTCACTAACTGGGACTCCCCACAGTGGGTGTCCAGAGTCCCCAGAAATCCCTCCAGGGTTCTCAATCAAGAACAATGTTTGGCTGCCCATTCTATATCCTTATTTTGAATAGAATTATTAATTTAGAGAGATTCTTTCCATAATTTCAGAGGGATGTGTTTATGATTTTTATGATCATATTAGCAAGATCGACTAGAGAGTACACTCTGGGAGTGACTCCCAGGGTAGCATGTACCAATTCTAGTGGTTGTGGCATGCTGAACAACAGCCAGCATGATCTTTTTCTCTACAGGCTTTGAGGTATAGGCCCTGAGATAATTTTGGCCCAAACAGTGAGGACCCATATAATTGTACTGTTTTCCTTTCATACTTTGGAAAAAAAATCTTAAATGGACATTAAATATATAGAAAAATTAAGTGCACTAAAATTAACTCGCTTAAATACCTATTTATAATATATGTTATATATATACTATGTTAATGATATTATCATTATTTATATTATTTGGATTGTGTTATGTATTTATGTTAATTTCACCATTGCCTCTATGTCTTTATATTTCAAAGTAGACACTGGCTCATAGTCTGGGCTTCCTGAAGGCATCCAAAGAACCACCTGATGCCTGCTGTTACCAGGTGGGTAGGTTTCATTATTATGAGTAAGTATATAATAGAGAAATGGGAGAGAAAAAGAGGCAGAATGGTTCATGTGCTGTGATAAGAGGCAGATCTGAAGAACTGAGGGCTATGAAGAATGGGCTAATAATGGTGGCATGTTTGCCACCTGGGACCAGGGTGATGTCTGAGCCTAGGATGCTGCCTGGGGTCAATCTATGTCTGTGTTCCTGCTACAGCTGGGGTCTACAATTGTGTCCATGACTCATGGTTCCACAGA